ATTCCAGCAGCGATTCGAGCGCACCGTGTATGGGAAGAGGCAGATGGTCGGGTTCGTGTGGCCGATAGACCCGGGGAAGGATAGCAAATGGACGTCGGAGCGGATGCGGAAGGTGTTGAAGCGCGAGACAACAGTCGGTTTAGGCCAGCCTATAACCATTCAGGCGTACCGCGACATCGCCATCGCCATGAGCCGCAAGTACACGCGAGGGAACATGGCGTTCCGGCCCGACGAGGACGACGAGGATAGCGATTGGAACGAGGACGACCCGCAGGATTCGATCCAGGACGAGCAGGCCGGCTATACAGCACACGTCGCCGGGATCGTGTATAGACGCGCCATGTTAGAATTAGCAGGTGTAGTAGCCAGTAAGCGGCAGCGATTCAGGGTCGCCAGCGAAGCATGGCATTTATTTTTAGGATTCGAGTCGACGGTTTCGAAGGGCCAGCCGGTTAGCAGCAAGAGGGCCCCGTTTAAGACAGAGGTAGACGACGCCCGGTTAGAGAGGTTAGCCCGGTTAAAGAGTATGGACAAGAGCGACCGGTTAAAGAAGTTTATACGCGACGATATAGCCGGGTTCCGAGGCATCCAAGAGGCAGTAATAGACGCCGTTGCAGACCGGAGCAAGGCCGTCGTCGCAGTCATGCCGACCGGTTCGGGGAAGAGCGTATTATTCATGTTACCAGCATAGGCAGAGCCGGGCGGGACGATAGTAGTGGTAACACCGTTAATTACGTTGCGGCAGGATATGATACGGCGTTACAAGAAGACAGGTATCCAGTGCGCCGAGTAGGATTCGAGAAGGCCGCTAGATATAGCGGCCGTCGTGTTCGTTACGCCCGAGTCGGCAGTTAAAGAAGAGTTTACTACGTTTTTAAACCGGGTTAGGTGGACAAGGCAGTTAGACCGTATCGTCGTAGACGAGTACCACATAGTATTAAGTAAGGATTTCGGTTTCAGGAAGGCGTTCTAGAAGTTACACAAGTTAACGAGGGTAGAAGCGCACATGGTTTTGTTGAGCGCAACGGTACCCGTTACGGAAGAGCAGCGGTTAATCGAGAAGATAGGATTTATGCCAGGGGAGGTATAGGTTTTAAGGGCGCCGACCACTAGGACGAATATTCGGTACCGCGTGCAGGCGATCACGAGCGAGGACGGAGAAGAGGAGGAGGACACGACCATCCAGCGGGCCATAATACGCGGGTGGATAAGGTGGCAGGGCGGGAAAGTCGTCGTATATTACAACACGATTGGAAAGGTAAGGCGGTTAGCCAGGAAGGTAGGAGGGGAGGCGTTTTATACCGACGTTTCGGACCCGGAAAAGAAGAGGATTATAGAAGATTTTATAGACGGACGGGTCCGCGTTTTGGTTACAACGAATACGTTTAGTATAGGAGTGGATATACCGGATATTCGGTTGATTATACACGTAGATACGCCGAGGGATTTGATTAGTTACGTGTAAGAGAGCGGCCGGGCAGGAAGAGACGGATTAGAAAGCGAGGCAGTCGTGATTACTAGGGCGAGGGTTACAGAGAATAGGAATAGGGTTAGGGTTATAGAGTTTAGGGGCAGGGACGGCGCGGGCGAGGATAAGTGGAT